TATATATATATATATATATATATATATATATATATATATATATATATATATATATATATATATATATATATATATATATATATATATATATATATATATATATGTATATATATATATATATATATGACTGGAAAGATTTATCCTGAAAGACTGATTTTGACGGGTGCGTTCATGAATTGATTTTAGAAACCAGTGCTCATTGTGCCTGGCATGTATTTTATATGATATTGCCTATGTTAAAGACATGAATCATTGATTTTTTCCATTCATAATAAATTTTGTACAGCATAGTTCTTGAATAATTACGAAGGAACCCAACGATTCGTATAATACAGTTTTATAGGTATTCCTCAACTGTTATTACGTGGTGCTCGTTTGAAACATACACGGTGGATCTGTGGTGTAGTACTGTATGCAGGACATGATGCCAAATTATTAATGAATTCAAAAGTAGCTCCGTTGAAACAGTAATTTTTTTCCCTTGAATCATTTTGCTTTATACATAAGTAATTTTGTTCCAATTTTCATTATATCACTTTCAGTATCAGTGTTCTGCATATTGCTGTGTGAATTGTAGGATACTATGAATTTTGCAATGCATTGATATTTCAGAGCCAAAATTGATGCTATCACCAATCGGCGTATTTTATTTTTGTTCTTTGCCCTAATTGGCCTCGCTTTTATAAGTGCTGTGGGAGCATACTTCTTTGATCATAAACGGCTAACACATGCTTATTACGTCGGCCCTCAGGGTGTGTTTAGTTTTTCTCGAAACCTATGTGATAGGCAATATAATTCCAGTATACTAGTGACTTTTTTATCAACATATCGGATATAATTTGTAATATAATTAACGAAATAACAAAGCTAGATCACCATCTGTAATCTAATATAAAAAGATAATTATTAAAGGTCGAGTTCAGAATCCCTCAGAAACAGAGTCACGCTGCTTCCTTATCATCACCTGGAGGAGTACTTTGATAAGACACTGAAGTTTATGCCCCTGCATTTATCTTAAGCAGCGTTCCTTGTTTTTCACTTTTTTATTTTATATTCATAAAATTTAGTCTTTTAGTCCTTTAATGTTTCCAGAAAAGGGGCCTTTCAACTTCTTCTGGAATATGTTGACGTTCTTCATTTTGTACAATAACTTAATCCCGATCTCACTGCAAGTCACCCTTGAACTAATACGATTTTTCCAGGCAGTATATATAAATAATGTGAGTAAGCTCCCTCTCATTCATTTAATTTTATCTTATTTACATATTCAAAACATCGTATGTGGTTTGTCGTGATTCTTTGATAACTTAGGCTTAATTTTTAAAATTCACATTTCATTCGTAAGAACTCGAATCTTCCTCATCCCCTCTTTGCTAAGTTCATGTTTCACTCTCTGAAATAAGAACTGGAAATGAAAATTAATGATTTGCATTCTAGAAGTAAAACCATGTTTTGATGTGATATACTTTCAGGATATTGCTATGTACGAAGAAAGAACAGATAGTTGTGCTGTTGCGAGAACATCTAATTTAAATGAAGAATTGGGGCAGGTAAATGCTCTTTTTCCCCGCTACCCTTTTTCATTGATTGGGTACTGGTGTAAAATAGTTGCAAAATTTATTAGTTCGACGTTTGCAAAAAAACTACTTTATGAAATATTTTTTATGCTTCCACTACTTCATGAAATATTCTTTATGCTTCCTTTTTTGATTAGCTGCCATCGATAAGGCGTAAAAGTTATAACATTTTGAGTATGACAGAAATAGGCTATTTAATTCTTCTAATGGAAATTTCAAAACAGAAAATAATGGATTGTTTACAAGCTGGAAGTAAGAAAGATGTGGGAAAAACATTTTTAGTACGTGTTCAGATGCAGATAGTTTTTTTTTGACTTGCACAAAATTTCGTAATTTGAAGGCAAAGATGGATTCATCTTTATTTAAAGTTTTATTAAGCCTTTTGTTATTGCCATTTTTCCCAACACCTCATTCTCAGTAACAGTTACATTTTGTTTAAGGTAAAATTCATTATGAGTGATAAAACCGGAACACTTACTCGTAATATTATGAAATTTAAAAAATGTTCAATTGCGGGTATTAATTTTGGAAACGATGAAACAGATGATTTTCAAGATCCTAACCTATTGGAACTCATCAGGACTTCTGACGTTAGTTCTTGCGTTCATACCTTTTTTCTACCACCAATTTTGGTTGCAACATTTACTAGCTTTCGAGATAGTTTGAGGGACTATGTTGAAACCTTATCATATATATGTTCGAAAGTGATAGAGTATTTCGCATGAGCAGCAAAAAGAGCAACTAATAGCCTCTTAATCAGATGGCATACTTAAAACAAAAACCTATAAAATGTGTAAAAAAGAAAGTTAGAAAGTTTCTGGAATATTTTTTTTTTGTTACTTTGATAAGCAGATGAAGAATTGCATTGTTTTATGCTTCCATTATTAATTGTTTGATATCACTGACAATAAAAAAAAGAACTTTGGAACCACTATGTTTTCAGAAATCTTATACTTTTACCTACATACTTGCTGTTTAGAAAAAAGCTAGTCCTGTCAAAGAGTTCCTTCGAATGATGGCAATTTGTCATACGGTTGTTCCAGAAAAGGATAAGAGTGGTGAATTACAGTATCAAGCTTCTTCACCGGACGAAGGTGCACTTGTTCGTGCTGCTGCAGCTCTTGGATTCGTGTTTCACACTAGAAAGCCACAGAGTATTCTCGTTTCAGAGGTACTTTTTAATTGTGATATGTTCAGTGTTCAGTCTTTGTTGATTTTCATTAACTTGAATTATTATTACTGCCTCTGCTCTGTGGTTCAATAATTACCATCTTTTTTGTAAATTTATGCGCAATTCCCAAATTAAAATTTGTAAATGCACAGTGTGTAATTAACTTTCATTCCATCTTTTAGTTCCTTAATTTTCCTTACTACATATTAATTTGTACTTTCAGGTGGGAGAAATCAAAAGTTACACCGTCTTAAATGTATTAGAGTTTACCAGTGACAGGAAACGAATGGGTGTTATTGTGCAGTGTCCTGATGGTGTCTTGAAATTATATGTCAAAGGAGCGGTAAGAAATTACTTATGTTACATTATTTTCATTCGCACAGGCTTTTGTATATCATTTTCGTGAATTTTCCTTGATTGTCATTCACACTGAAAGTTGTACGTCACATTTGCTCAGTTTTTTTAGATTCTTATATTGTCATTTTTGTTGTATTTATGCACTAGTCTACGTTTTTGGTCACTGTCTGGACTTCGGCTATTCCGGTAGTGACAAATGAGCGTGGATATCTTTTCAGGATTCTATGATTTTCCAAAGATTACAACATAATTCACCAGTTATCGATGAATGTTCTGCCCATCTTGTGGAATATGCGTCAAAGGTCTGTTATTCTTTCCAAAGATCAGTTTTATTAAAGTTTCTTGTGTTTCTTGTCTCGAAGCTTCATTTTCCGCTGACATTTTATCCCGTATTGCCTTTAAGCAATTTTCACGTTTAAATTATTCTCATCAATAAATTACGTTTTGTTGGCTTTAAAAAAGTAACATTAAAGGGTTATCGAACTCTCTGTTTTGCAATGCGTGTACTGAAGCTGGAAGAATACAATGAATGGGCACAGGAATTTGAAAAAGCTTTAATTTCGATGGACAAACGAGCAGAAAAATTGGCAGAATGTGCTGAGAAGATTGAAACAAACCTCATCTTAGTTGGTGCATCTGCAATTGAAGATAAATTGCAACAGGTCTTTTTTGCACAGTAATTGTAAATTGCTATGACATTGAGGCATTTGAGAAAAGCTTCGACATTCTTATTTTGTAGTAACAACCGAAATCACTACAATAGAGTTATGAATTCATTAACAATACCACACCTAAATCTGAATATCCCGTCGCATCAGACCAATAGTCTTCTAATGTAATGGAATATTCTAATTTACAGTACTTTGTATTGTAAGAAGCGAAGTGCAAATATCCCCTACAGCCTTAAATAAACTACGAAAATATCATAATTCATTAGTCATGGCTAATTGAACATTGGATAAGAGCGAACACCGAACAAATTTCGTTTTTCCGGTTAAAGTACTGAATTAGATCTTAAATGTAGAATACTAATCAACGGTTTGTAGTATGTACCAGAAACAATTACGGCGTTACTTGCTGCACAAATACGTGTTTGGATGTTAACTGGAGACAAGCGTGAAACAGCCATCAATATAGCTCGTTCAGCGGGTCTTGTTCATTCAGATATGAAATGTTGGTTTATTGATGGCAGTTCATACGATGAAGTTTTTAAAAAACTTTGTGACTGCAATAGTGGCGTTCAGTCATCCACTGATAAATACTCCTTAGTTATCGATGGCTCTGTAAGTTTAGTTTTCGATTTTTGCAATATGTTCAAAACCCTTCTTGCATATACATTTCATTCACTAACGTCAGCCATATCCATACAACTGGTAATTATCCAGCCGTCGCTACAGCTATCGTTATTCACTTTGTTTCATTTAGAAGTATTGATGAAGAGCAGCTCTAAGACAAGAAAATTGAGTTTTCTTAGCCTTATCTGAGTTTTCTTTTTATTCCTTTTGTTTATGTTTCATCGATTTTATTTGAAAAGGGATATGAAGCCAGCTTAATAAAGTGGGAGGACTAAATTTTAAATCACTTTTTTGCCATTTCTAAATAAATGGTAATAAGTGCAGAAGAATAAGAAGCTACGAACATCCACACTTCTTTCACTCTTTCTAAAAAAATCTAAAATTGCTTCGTATTATACAATTAGCATACGTTTAAAAGAGAAATGGAATATATCTGGTGTAAAAAAGTTCAAAAAAGTGGATTTCGAAATTTCAGACGTTAAAATACGTAGTTGGACCAGAATGTAGGAAAATATTTGGTAACTTAGCAGTGATTTGTCCCACTGTGATTTGTTGCCGAATGACCCCAATGCAAAAAGCAGAAGTTGTCGAGATGGTCCGCGAAACCACTGACGACGTGGTTTTAGCAATTGGTGACGGTGCCAATGATGTTGCTATGATACAAGTATTTCTTATTTTTATCAGTATTGACTCTTTTCAGAGATAAATGAAGTAAACAAAGTAGTAAGAATGGTGCAAATAAATTTTGGACGCAGGGTAAAGTATGATATTTCCAAGGAATATCTCCTAGATTTTCTATTAGTATTTCTCAAAAGTTCAGGCTGCTAATGTTGGTGTGGGAATAATGGGTGAAGAAGGTTTACAAGCAGCATCTGCCAGTGATTACTGTATCGCACAATTTCATTTTTTACGCAGACTTTTACTAGTTCATGGTGTTTGGAACTACGAGCGAGGCGTAAAGGTTATTTCATTTATTTTTTTGATCTCATGTTTTAAAAAACGTTTGAAGTCGTCTCGTTCCAGATTTCGTAGTTTCAGGTGATATTATATAGCTTCTATAAGAATATATGTTTGTATTTAATCGAATTATGGTTTGCGATCCACTCTGCTTTTTCTGGTCAAACAATATTTGAACGCTGGACTATTGCCCTTTTCAATGTTGTATTTACTGCTTTACCGCCTGTAATGATTGGATTATTTGACAGACCTCTTTCCGACCAAATGATGCTTTCCTATCCTGGCTTGTATGAGAGTTTTCAGAAACGAACATTCACCATTAGTGTGAGTTATGCTCAAACAAAAAACTTGTTTTATCGATTTATATCAGACATGTTGGAAAACATGGAAAACATGTATCGTGAAAATGATACTAGTTGTCACATTTGCAAAAATGATTTAACCAGCAAATACGTGGCTGAAGATTTATAATTTGATTTACAAGTCTCTTTTCTTGTTGATTTTGTTTTCAATTTAACTATATAACATGCTGCATTCATTCTAGCAATTTGCAATATGGATCGGTCTAGCAGTTTGGCATTCGTTACTTCTTTACCTTTTATCTTTCGCATTTCTGTGTGATCCTGTTGTATGGGATAATGGCAGGGTTGGAGGCTGGTTGATGCTCGGCAATTCATGCTATACGGTTCGTCTCACTTTGTTTATTCTTTCAATTGAATTATAACATTAATCTAGAGAATGAAAGGGGAAATGAAAAATGAAAGGATTTTAAATAGCTAATGGAATTTTGTCAGTTAAAAAGAAAAGGCACGTGATGCGGTTTCTTTTTTATAGCCACATTTGGCAAATATAATATGAACTGCTTTTATTTTTGCCTACTTATTTCACTGCATCTTGCTTAAAGAGAAAAAAAACTCAAACTCAAGCTCGTTAAAATCTTTTATTTTCTTGTTGTTTTTTAGTTCGTGGTAACAACAGTTTGCCTTAAAGCTTTGTTAGAATGTGATTCTTGGACAATAGTTATACTGTTTTCTTGTTTTGGCTCCATTTTATTATGGTTTATTTTCCTTCCGCTTTATTCCATGGTAAAAGTTAACGTTATTTTACAGTTCTTTATTGAATCGTAACTTATTTGTTCTCTTATTTGGTAAGCTATTGTTTTTTCCATGGAAGCATAAGCTGTAACTTTTGGAGATTATAAATCTTTATGCATTGCATAGATTTCTTGAAAAAGTAAATAAGTTATAGATTTGGCCAATTTTGCCGATTGGTGAGCATATGTCTGGTATGGTATTCATAATGCTGAGCTCATCATCTTTCTGGCTGGCATTTATTTTTATACCTATAACAACTTTATTTACTGATTTCATCATCAAAACGTAGGTCTAAATTTCTTAGTGATCTGGTCTTAATTTTTGAATTCTGATTAATTTTTGTAAATCGATCAGGGTAATTTAGAAAAACAATATGTGCGGGTGAGAATTATGCAGAAATCATTCTGGTTAGTCTCTTATGATGACAAGTTTTATGGAAAAAATTACCTGACTTAAACAATTTTTTGAAATATACTTGTTTTCCGCATCTCCATATGAAGCGAATTGGTAAAAGGACTTTCAGAAAGTGAAGGTTTCAGGATCCGGATGACTTTTGCGCCAACTCCTAAAGAAATAGCATACTTCCATGAACATTCCAGAAAGCAGAGTCGTGACATTTATTGCGAATTACATTGGTAATTCTTTTTCTTTCGGTGACATTTTAAACCTTCTCTCGCTAATTCTGTAGACAATGCTGTTGTTTCTTTACCAAAATCATAAAAACGTTTGGAAACCAATATATTAGTTGAAATGTACCATATTTATAAGAAGTATGTAAACTCTTTTTCTAATTTGTTAGTTAATTTTTGCTCACCAAAACATTTTCATTTTGTTTACCCTTTGTTTGCACAGTAATTCAATATATCCTTTAGTGAAATGGAATGCTAAAATGTTTGCTGGATGCTAAGTTTCTCAAGTTTTCCAAGTCATCTTCATATCACACGTATATTTTTTTATGAACCTTAACTGTTCATCTTGTTTAATTAAGATACCTGGTCAGCGCTTAACTCATCTGAAGAGGTGTTTTAAAATCTGTTGAACTCTCTAGCTTAACCATTCTATTCAATTTCTAGGTTTTTGTTTTTTATATACATGCCGCTCTAAGATTTTGAAGCCACATTTCTCGCATCTGAGCCAATCAACTTGAATATAAAATTGGCACTTTCTGCTTACTGTAGCATATTTCCAATGTGGGATATCAATTTTCAAATTCGGAATCTCGCCGTCGCAGCCGATAGCAATGGCACATTTCTAACACAACGCGCCTTGTATATAATGACACTAAACACGACTTGAACAAGAATTAAAATACGGATACACAGTGGTTCCGAAAACTACATTTTTCCTATAAGGCGAAATTAGTTTCATAAATCGCAATGATTGTAATGGTGTCAGAAATGTGAGAAGTGTGGATACTGAAGCACCTTTTGTGTAAAATGATGTGAGAGGATTCTATAAATTTTCTATAAAAAGATCCAAGTGGGAATGTGAGGTATAATTGTGTAAGGCTCTTGTTCATTAAAATTTTCTAATGTTCTTGTCAAAAATGATCTCTTCACTTGTTTTCTTTTGTTTAAAGAAGAATCACGCTTTTCTTCTGAATTGTAAGTCAGCAAGAAATATTATCAGATAAAAATGTGAATAAACTGCTTAATTAAGCACATAATTGCGTTCAATTCTAAATTTTACGGTTTCTTTTCATAAGTTGTTTATTTGTATCGAGTCTTTGTAGTTTACGGCGTACTGAACAAGTTGAGCGAGCAGAATCTAATGGTACCATCAGTGAAACGATATGTGATAGCATCAGTGATAGTTCTGCTTTGAGACTAATTGGCGAACATCAACGAGTCGAGCTGGAATCGGTCTGGAATTCAGTGAGGGAGCGACCACCGACATCCACTGTTCACATTCCCATCTGAATTTCATATGGTTCACTACCGTATCAGTTATGTTATAGTGAACTCTTGTTTTTACCTTCAGTTATTCTTTAATTGGTCTTTACCTTAAATTTAAAGTTTTGATAGCTTCAGGAGTTTTGCCCTTTTCAATAGTTTCCAATTTCAATTTCCCTTCTCAATAGTTTTCCAATAGCTATTTTGTAGAGTATGATAACTGATAACGTTATTACTTTCTATCCTTTTCGGTGACAAGAATGCTATGGCCACAAGTTTTCAAAGAATTAAGGAAATTATTAAACTTGTTTTTCTGCTATTTATAGTGGACTATTGTATTACTTTCAGTGATGCGTCAAGAAACCTAGCTTCACTTTTGAACTTATGCATGATTTTTATTTTATTAAGACTGAATTGGATACTAAGTTCCAGTTTGGAATCATGGGCAAGAAACATCTGTGGTGGACATAATTGTAACTCTTACAATTTATTATATTAGTTCAAGGGCAGTCCTGCGATCGTACAGGTCTTGTTACATTTTAAACTCTTCCGTTATTTGGGTGCTTTTAAGCGATAGCTAACGACAGTCATAGCTTTGGAGATTTCACATGTTTACAATGACCTCAACCCAACCTTAAGGAAGAAAAACCGAAGTGATTACGAAGTTTTTATCTGTGACAATGTAGCAGAACTCCTGGAGCTGTCGATTGGGTGGTTTTTCATTTGTTGCCAAGAATTCCTAACGTCAATTCGAGAAATAAAACTGCAGTACATGAGTTTTTCGCAGAATACTCTCACGTTTTCATTAATTAAAATTTTTAGTTTGCTAGTCAGTTGCCATTGAGCAATTCCAGATTTGGAACTCGAGGTCAAAGTTGTTATTATCTTTTCTTTGATTCACTTCGTTTATTATGTCAGTCTGTTCAGTTTTTTCGCTTCTGCTGAAACATGAACTAAGACCATTTTAAAAATTAAAGTCTGAATACTTGTATTCTCCTCGCGCTTTCTTTTGATTAGTTTTTTACGGTGAATACTGTTGTAATCGGAATCTGTCATTTTATAAAAATTTTTTGTACCTTTGTACTGAGACTTGACATCATCTTAGGCAAAGTGCACTCACTTTTGATAAGATTAATCAAAAACGGAGACTGGGTTTTGATTCTCTGAACCACCTCATATTTATATTTCCCAAACTGAAGGTAAGAAAACATCAAAGAAATATAGTGTTCCGGTATATGGTGGTTGATCCTTTATTTTAATGAACTTGCCCCCGCAAAAAATGTTTAGATTTGAAAAGTGGTTATTGTATTTTGTCACATTATTCTCTTGAATACTCTTCAGGCCTTCCCCAACAATACCTTAGAATGAGCTTTTGATAAGTTTAAGTCTTCACTTTTTTAGTGCTAAAACTTTTCCTAACCACTAATTTACACAGCTTTTTCCTAATTTTTCCTATCAAATTTCTCTGTAGAATGTAAAATTGTCTTATGTTCAGGAGATCGTCCGCCGGGAATTTCCAGCTTCTGGGATATAATGGAATGGGCAATTGGTCCTATCAGGATGTTATCTCCGAAGAACAACTAGATCCAGTCACTCCCTCAGAACGTACGCCTTTAAACCTAAAGTTTCCTTACAAATTCAGTAAGATAGCGATGGATAAGAGGTGAAGTGGAACAGCTTTTTGGACAAATGACCGAGAGTAATTTTTCTAATTTAACGGCAATAAAAAATGTTCAGTGGGAATTGGAAGAAGTGCAGTGTATATGTATAACAACCTATTGCAACTCAAATATAAACTAATTAAAATAATTTCCTGCTAATGATTACATGTTTTCTCAGCAAAAAGAAGGAGTTAATACTTGAAGTGGCTAAAGGTACGATTCGATGGATACAAAGCTTACGTTTTTTGTATTCTTAGATTAATAAACTCATTTTTCATGTTTGTTAATTGTTGCTTTCTTGTATTTTACTTTGTTCTATTGTATTTTGTTCTATTCTTGTATTCTTGGAAGTATCTTGCGCAAATTCCTGAAAATATTTCTTGGAAGTAACACAGAGCTACAAATTTCTCTTTATTTCCATTTCAAGCTTATATAATTAGAATAAAAGATTTGCGACTATATAAAATTAATGTCATATAATCGCAAATTAACGCAAAAGGTAAGCTCCAAAACATCGCCACAAGATAAAATCAAGAGACCGTAACAAAAAGCAAAAAACGAAAAATGTTATTCTGCTATGTGAAGGATATATGTATATACTTTTCACAAATTTGGTTCAATGATTGCATAGATTGGTGTTTCTGTTAGCACACATTGAAAACATTAAGCAGAAATACTATACACCGTGGTAGTACGTTACGTGTACAGAAAAGAATTTGGATGATTTACTGGTCTCAATCAAGATCCAACTTGGTAAATACAGATTAGTATATCACAACGCAGTTACCTTTGAATGTTTGTATTCCTCTTTCTCTCGGAACTTCGGGTTTATTCGCCACAAGTTCTGCATCTTTTTTTACAGCTTGGATGAACTGTTTTTCAATTTTCCATTCGATACATCTTTATGGGTTGAAAAAAAGGAAGGTTGAAAAATTAATTAGACCGGACTGATTTTTTATATATCCGATTTCTCACTCTATCACTTGTGTTTGTCTACAACTGTAGTTTTCTCACACTTCTCGTTTTTACAAGCACGTCTTTCAGTGTTTTTTCTTTTTAATCTCATTCATATGTAATCATTACAATACTTTCTTCGGGAACTTTCGAAAAGAAACACGGATTCGTGTCAGATATTCTAAGTTCGATCGGCAAAAGAATTCTCTACAGCTCTCTGCAGGACTGGTTATTGTCGTTGAAATCTTCAGTTAGTTCGACATGGTAGAAAATAAGTTTGAAAGCAAATGCAAATCAACTTGATAACACCTGAGTAGAACAGAAGATGGACATTTCTAGTTAGTCTTTTTTTTCTTTTTTTTGGTTATAGATAGCACGATTTTATTACTACTTCTTGTATGTGGTTTAAAATATTGGAAAATATAAAAAGATAAAGATATAAGAAATAGGTGCGCATTGCAAAGGTAATAATTTCTAACATTTATAGACTGCAAAGTACCACAAGTTTAAAGTGGTGCACAATATCAGAATATAAAGTGTCTGACAGACACATATTCCGTGGCAAACATCCGGAAAAGGAGTAATAAACATTTGGGAATAACAAAAAATTTTGTTCTAAGGGCTTTACTTTCAAGGCTTGAAGTGATTAAAGTGAAGGAAACGAAAACGAGAAAAATAATTACACAAAATGAGACCAAACAGTACGTGTAGAAGAACAAAGTATTGCCATTAACAATCGTACGACCCACCAGATCTTTCTGGCTAGAGTTTTCAAGTATCGCTGTTTAGTTCTAAACTGGAAGGATAACAAAGGTAAATAAGCAGTCCCAGCTCCATCCCCTGCTTCCTTCTCCGCGATTCTGACAGTTGTGATTATGACAACTAAGAAAATTTCTCTTCATAGTGGTTAACGAATAGGGAGTACATTTCAGCTCCGTTATCGACATTAATTGCAAACCTTTCCATGTCATTTCCATGCAATAATAATAGTGAACGATATGGCCATCTGATTTTCAAACGTCTATGATGCAACGAAATGTTTTATTCTCAGCGAAGAGCTGTGTTTAGTTAGAAGGATATAGTTGTGATATCAATTTAGATTGTATCATATTTGTCCTCAATACCGATTTAAATATTAGATAACTTTCTTCTTTTATGTTGCAAAAACATACTAAGCCTGTCTCATTCCATCATTTGAATTCCAGATTCTCATTTAGCTATGAATTAGACTTGCAATTATAAATTCTTTCTGAGAGAAATTTGGCGACCAGTGTTCTGAACATTTCGAAAAAGTCATACGAATCTCAAAAATGTCGCAGTACCACTTATTAATATTAAATAATCGAAGATTCTATTTCCCACAATAACCGTTTAACACCGAATATATGGGATTTACACTTGGCACCGAATAAGCCCCACGGCAATTCGGGTCATTGCTTCTTTCGGGTTCTACAATTTATTTGTAGGATTTCGTCAGAACATATCATTAGTTTTGCGACCAACGATATTAATGAATCGACTCAAATTTGTGTCCATTTTTCTGAAGACTCTCTGAGCACTACTATTGATAAGCGATCCTGAAGTTGATTTTCACAGAAATCATCTGTCTAATTTCTTTGCTGTATAATATTAACCTCTCTTCCTGAGCTGTTTACGTGTGTGTTTCTGCTTATCAATGCAGGTCTCCAAACAAATGATATTTATCTCAAAAATTAATCAAAAGAACTCAGAAGCAATGATCGAAATTCCTTTTCATCACTATATGTACACATATATAAATAAATCAAACAAAATTTCCGAAAAGCAACGATTACTTTCAAATGGTTGCATAAAATAGAGTTACAAGGTCTATTTTGAACCTTAAAAGGTAGCTAAAACGCATCTGAATTGCCAATTATTTTCCACATATATTATGAAAATACTGTACAGCAGATAACAAGGATTTACTATTCACCAATAAATCAAAAGAATCAATTAATCTATCATTTAACATTATCTGCGTTCTAAGAGCTACTGAGGTGAAGAAATAATTTGCTGGAAAGAAAAAACACGGAAAAGAACAGTTAGAAAGATCTGATGTAATCACTATATTCCTTCAAAGCTTATGCCAGTCTAAGGGTTTCAGCGAAAACATGAATCTGATCCAACAGATTAATTCAATAGCATCCGAAATACTGCGAGACAACTGTAATTAACTAGTTAAAATCAAAACAATTTTTCCTTTGAAAAGTTAAATAAGGCTAGCTGTGTGATATGATTTCCCTCTCACTGGCAATAATAGTAATATAAGTCATGGTAACAATAAAAACAACAATAACAACCATAACAATAATTGTTGAAATTATCGATGATTCATTTCACAAAACACCATGCGTATCACGAAGTTTAACAGTTCGCATTGCTGATGATTAGAAACGGAACGAAAAAATAATGCTTGAAATCTTTACTGGAACTTTCCAAATAAAAATATTGAGAATCTTGAAATAGCAGAAAAACAAAAAATAATTTGAACATATATTGTTTGATAAAGGCAAGATATGCTACATTTACGGAAACACTGCAGTATTTGAAACGACAAATGCAATTTCAACTGAACAAACTGCTTAGGCACAAAAGCCGTCATTTTTTGCAGTGCCGTCATAGATCTCACATAAATCGATTATTGATTTTGAAACCGAAGTTTAACACAAGTTTCCCTTTTTTACGTCGTTAATTTTTAAAAAATCATCCAGCTAATTTCAAGGAACGATTTTTTTTTGGAGGCTAAAAAATATGATAAGAGATATTTTGAAACATTCCGAGAACGAAATCAAAAATTGACCATTTAAACTAAAAAAAATTTGTTTAATAAAGACTAAAATGGACATGTTCGTAAAGTTATAATTATTTTATAATAAAAAGAGACAAATCACATCATTAAAAAAATTACCAAAAATATTAGTAAAAATAAAATTAACTCAATGGGGAATGAGAAAAATCAATTTACACAGTGTCGTACTTGTATAGATATCGTTTCTGGAAGAAGCAAAATAAGCTATTAAAGCTAATTAAATAATATGATTACTCTAGTCCAACTGGGTAAGCAGGAGGAATAATTTACTGCATAAGCTTATCATAACGAAGAACCTTGGATTCACAGTAGACTAGTACTGGTTTTACGCAAATCAATGGCGTTTCTGTTGAGGTAGTAGGAAGAGCGGATCCCAATAAGCACGATCTCATATGTTATAACTACAGCCTCGGAAAACGAAGAAGGACTTAACTGGGTAAGTCTCAAAACTTGCAAAATCTTAAGTGATGATAATTTACAAGCAAAGCAGCGCTTTATGGGTTCTGTCCATAAGATACTAATAAATTTTAGTAAATATATTCCACTTTAAGCAACTGCCTGTGGAAATGTTCAAAAATAGATGCAGAGAAATTCTAAGAAAGAACAGAAAATCTAAAATAAAGCAAAAGACACCTCCGATCATTACCATGAAAAGCCTAACAAAGATAATCTTCAGTTATTTCATTCCGCAAATCCACGGAATTCCGGACTTTTACTTTACCTACGTTTCAACTTAAAGTTTTCGAAATTAAAAAATATGCTACCAGAAATATAATAAAACAGATCACTAGCGTTGACGAAGAAAATAAAATTATTTTGGTACCAAGCCTATCACAAAAGTATTTCAGGGAAAAAGAGAAAAAAGATAATAAAGAAAAAAGATTTTCGTTTTTCTGCGTGCAAAAGTGAAAGAGCAGAAGCGCAAATTACTATTTTAAAAAGGCAATATAAAGAAGAAAACTAAACTACGCATAAAACAACGAAAGTACCTCAGTCATTTTGAATGATTCACGACAATTCTTTTATGAAAAATCTTGAAAATGTTTGGAAAAGAACAGTCGCATCAATCTAAGCATAACTGCGAAAATTATAAAAATAAAAATATTTAGTTTTAATTACTCATGACCCTAGCTCATTGATATATATGTAAAATTCTTTCTATTAATTCGGATTCTGAAATGTTCTGGATCAATGCAGTAAACCATTATCAACTATGACAGTTCCTTTAAATTGGAAGCCAAAGATGTACTTTGATTCGGAGGAATAAAACTCCCGAAAAATGAACAAACAGCTTTCGATACACTATTTAGAATCGGGGTATTAATGTTCGATTGAAGCGAAGCATTGCATCACGCTCCATTCGTGCAGGTTCATCGATTGTTTTGATCAATGTGATGGGGTCAAAGGTGACACAACGCGTGCCAACACCATTCAGATCAGCACTACTCCCGTTTGGTGCATCCGGTGAGGAGGTTGCAAAAATCCGCTCCAGTGAAACAGTAGAAGAAGGAACTGTGAGTAGTTCGGTAGCTATTTCGGCTAAGAGTCCGTATTTAACGGTATTGAATTGCCAGTACTGCAGTGGTGCTAAATTTCGACTGTTTAATGTCATTGGGAGAGCACCCGTTACTATTGCAAGTGGTGATGGTGATGTCTGATTGGTTCCAGCCTGAAATTCGAGCAGAACACACTGGTGATTAAGAATTTCAAAAATATATGTATATATAAACGTAATATATATGTATATATAAACTCTGATTCTAGAGAAAATTTTCCTCTGACGGCAAATTATTCGGGTTTAAAATTCTAAGCAAATTTTACAGTCATAGACATGTCAGTTTTTATGCTTAATTAAAGTTAATGAGCCTCCATATTTTAGGGGAAAATACAAAACTCACAGCAAGTTCATCGAAATACGACTGTACTATTGCTTCGGCATAACGATTTTTAGCAGCAGCTTGTTGCCTTTCCTAGAATTTTAGCAAATTTACAACCAACTTCAGATGGGAGTTAGTAACTTCTAACGATCAAATTAGGCAATATTTACGAAATTACCTCATTCCATATTTTAGGAGGGATGCGAAGCTTGAACAAGTTCATCAAAATACGACTAAATTACTCTCAATTTTAAAAGAAATTTTCCATGTAATCGAATTATAAGCAATTCTTGCTATTGGTTGGCTTAACTATAACCATTATCACCCGACACTTCCAATGACTCGAATTATGTAAAGGTAATTTTAGTATTAGTATTTTGGAAAGATAAAGTTAAAGCAATTCAAATATATTAAACAATTTTTGTAATCCTTAACGATACCTTCATTATTTTTCGTCGTTCATTTGCAGCATGGATAAGATCCGGATAAAGAGAAGTACTTGTCGCAATATTTTGACATGAAAGTGATGTATCACTGTTCCCAATATTACTGATGTTCTTGTTGCCATTTCTTGAACTGCTGTTATTTGTACCTGAAGTTGTCGCCAACGAAGAGGCAGCAGCTGCACGGTCTGTTACTGTTGCAAGCAGTGCATCAACTCCACCATTTAGCCGTGCAGGTCGACGAGCCGCTATTTCCTCTGCCAGCCTCATACGTCCATTTAACTACAAATTAGAATGGAATCTTTCAGCCTCCAAATTTAAAGATTTGTAATTCTGCATTTAAATCTTGACATTCTGGAGTTAAATGTTATATGACATTTTGAAATCCTTTTTTTGAAAATTTTGAAAATTTTTGAAATCCATGTTTAAGTTTAGTATGTAAGTCTTACAATCTTAAACTTTAAACTTTACAGTTTATCGTAATATAACATTTACTGAGTCTTCCATACTTTCTAACTCTGTAGAGCATTTAAGTGACTTCCCAAGAAAAGGAATATATGTGCTGGAAGGCAATTTTTCACTAATTTTCTAATTTCCCACTTACTCTTTCTCATATTCGCCGAAGATAATATCATAACTCTCCTGTAGTACCAAAGTCATCTCCCTCTTCATTTTTCTTCATTACAGTAAAACTCAAGAAAGTTGATATAAAGGTTCTTCAATGACTTCAAATAACCTCTTGCTCGATAGCATTTTTGGCATATGCTAACTGTTCATCATCCAGCAATAAAGCTAAATGTGGATTCAACGCTGTTGCTTGAATGAATGTTCCATCAAAATCAGGGGCAGTAATATCTAATATTGATGCCGTACGCTTTCGTAAATCCGTTTTCAACTGGGTTGCTAAATTCCCAAGAGCCGTAAAATCCTGGAATTTAAGTTTTAATTCATAATAAGTCTCACAACCTAGCAAGAGATGCTTTTGTTTTGCAGATTAGTCTATAAGTTGACACACTATTAATTTTATTTTAATGTAAATTTAATGTAATTTAGTGTATTATTGGCTGTACAGCTCATTATAAGAACGTTTTTGATTTCAAAAGGCAACCCCTTAATTTATGCTAAGCAATCCTCGTGCATCCTATATCAAAGAGATAAATTATTAAGATTTCGATAATCGATTATTGTCACTCGTAGTAGGTTGAATTGATGGGAATAGTTTCTGTGAGAAAAGGAAATAAAAAAAGTGTGCAGAAAAATTATTGAAATAAGACTCTGCTGTTGGCTGAATTTTTATTTTTTCGTCCTAATTATCTTCGTCATATTAAAATTTACATCGAATGAGTAAATGTAGAAGGGCTTCACTAAGCATCATCAGAAAACCTGAGTAGCAGCGAAGGAACGAACTCGAGGAATGATTCGAAAACAAATATACAGAATCGGAATAATATTTTCAACATCGACATTTACTTTTATTTAAGTGCGTTCTTTGTTAGAGTAGTTTGTGGAACGAAATACTTTATATTTTTAATATTTGATATAGGGCGAAGTTCCTGTTTCTTTTTGAGCATATAATTCCAATGTGGTAATTGATTTCGAACTGTGATTACGTAAGTGTAAGATCTTATTGATGACCACTAGGAGAATATTTGTTTATTAGGATAATCCATCATTGATATATATTTCTCCGTAACTTTTAGCAGAGCAAACTAATTATAGAAGTGAGAATTGCAATTTGCTCTACAAGTACAAACTCTTCGACTGTTTCTATTTTTAATCTCTTCTTCATCTAATAGATTTTTTATTAAGCAATAAATAGCTACACACTTTCTCGAGAGAAACTTGCAACTGCATCAGTGATGGAACAACACCGTCAATTGTTGCATAAACACCATCCTGTACAACTTTCATATGAGTGTGAAAGAGCCGCAACAGTCTCGATACATTTTCCAGAACTTGCCTTAACATACAGCTTATTAGGATGAAGTGAAAATTTTAAGTATGATTGTTATTTTTCCTCAAAAGTACTTCCAATGAGGATACCTTAGCTTACTGCTTTAATGTTAATGGCTGGTTAATCAATTTGTTGCATTCCTCTTCTCATCTACTTAAGCTTGGTATGTCATCTATATTAACTGAAGATGAAACTTGAAAATATCAGAAATAAATAATTACCATTGAGATTCATTGATTGTTCCGACTGGGTAATCGAAAGATATTTGAGTACAAACACACAGGAATGCATTTTTGAGTTCGAGAATAGCATCAATAAGAACAAGAAATGAATCGGCAATGGGTATTGATACCGGGTGTCCTGAATGTACTTACCTTGTTCATGCTGAACTTTACGAAGAAAACAGTAAGAATTTTGCAAATTAAAATTTACCAACAGCTTGTTGTAGCAACTGCATAGCATTTGGTCTTGTAACGAAATTCAAAATCATGCTGTAGAAGCTTTTCTTCAGTTCTTCAATTTCTTCATTTGCATCTATTACGTTCAACAGAGACTGCGTCAACTTCTGATTGTACGGTTCCAGCTTTGAATTTAGTAAATTGCTAATTACAATCTTCACTTATAAAAAAAATTGGGAATACAGGCAAACAGAAAGCTGAAAGCAAATAATTCGGAAGCGATTCCTCTTTTATTGATTAAAGACCATGGGTAGATTTTCAATTGGGTGGAAGAAAAAATCAAGGTACCATTCGAGGAAAGATATCTTCTGCAGAAACATTAATTCCAATTAGTTCGCACACATCATTGCAGAGATAGCGCGATACTTTATCAGTTGTGACATCAAAGTCTGAGAGAATCTGAAGATTTGACAATATTTTAATCAAAATTCGCTCACCACATAGATATCACTCGAAATAATTTATTATTATACTCATTCAGTGGAACCTAGAACAGGATGCTGAAATGAAGAATGACACCGAAATAATTATTAACTTCAATAACCTGTTCAACTGTAGATTTGACAGCATCTATGACGTTTGATTGATCAGCAAGCGGCCGAACACCGAGCAATGCAACTTCTACTCGTTGTGCTAATGGACTGTAAAAGGCAACGGATATACAAAGTCGAACTAATGGTCGCATTTCCTCCGTTCGCATGGCAGATGATTTTGGCGATTCCGTGCCAGATTGATTCTCATCGGATACTTCGAAACCACTGTCCGAATTAACGGATGTCGAGTCTTTTGACTCTAAGTCTTTCGATTCTTCCTCAAATAGATTTATTCATTTTTTCCCTTACTGTGAATACACTTAATATTGTAGCACTGAATAACTCAAGGAAAAGTAAGGGTTTTGGATTTCTTTTGGAAATTTTCTAGTTTCTAAATTTCAAAAAATAAAATCTAAGAGCCTCCAAATTAAAAAAAAAGAAAAAAATCAACGGATACCTTGTCATCAGCACTTGTAGGAAGTGCAGCAGAGGACGCTGATGTATTTAATTTCAATACATCGATCATGACAGCAATTTTTTTTGCAGTGGTTAGTTGGTTTTTTAAATTGATAATCATTCGTGAATACTCTGCATTGATTATCTGAAATTACTCCTGTTCAACACTTTTTACTTAATTAACATGGGAAAATTGTTGCACCTGAACAACATTAGTAGTAGAGTCGCTTTGCATGATGTTTTATAGAGAAAATACATATTGGAGAAGTTAGACAATTGTTGGGAGCGTTAGTTGTACCAGTGTGGTTTCGGAGAGAAGGAGTAACGAAAAAATTTCTAAGAAAAAAATTTTTAAACAAAAATTTCTAAGAAAAATTTATGCGTTAGCACTTGTTAGAGGTAATGATGTCAAATTGCCGACATTTGGAACTAAAGTTCCCTGATTGTACCGTCCGAAACATACTTCGCAAGATACTTAGTATAAATCACTGACTTCCTCTACATAGTTAATGTCATGCGGCATCGAGAAACGCGGTTGCATATATTCCATGAATTCACGAAAAAATGAATTTTCGATGATGTTTAATGGTAGTTGACTAGCAGAAAGCATTAGTGCCAATTTAACTTCCATCTCCTTCTGCTTTCGATCATCACGATTCCATTTTCGACCCATTGCTATTGCACTGCCTGTCGCACTACTGCTCGCTGCCATTAGTATATTTGCAGTCAAAACATCCGCCAACGAACTATCTGAAGGGTAGGGAGATATCCTGAATCAATTTGCATTTTTTCTACATTTGTATGTGTTTCTGAAATTAGCATAACCAGATTTCTTGAATAATAAAAAACTCCATCTTCAAGTACTTGAGGAGCTCACTGAACTTCTTTTATGCTATAGAAATCAATCTGAAGTTTCAAAATAGTTTAAAATACTTTTCCATAAATTTTGTGGAAGAAACAACATTTCTTTCGATCTTTTAAAACTTATGTAACTGTGACTTATTTTCCGATTCAAAGTTATCTAATAAAACGGTTTTTTAAAGGAACAATATAATATAAAGAAATAATTATTTTCACCATAACTTCGGAAGCAATAAATTTTAAACGATGATCAAACTAACTGCTTTTGATTGGCGATGAATTTCCAGTTGCATTTTGTGTATTGTTAATGCCACCAGTGCTGTTACCATTGTCTTGTTCGGGATTGTTGAAAATGGCAGCAATCGGATTTTGTAACAAATGACCATTTCCACTAGCTAAAGCTGCCACACTCGCCCTTGCATTTAGAACATCCAATATGTTGCTTAAAAGGAATATTAACTTGCATATTACAATTCACCATGACTTATTACATTCATCATTGTCACTAGCGATTTGAAATATTCACTACAGACAACTGTAATGAGCCATAATTTGAAAAAATATTTAATTCTGTTGAGAACGGGTTTTTCAAGATTGATGAAAGAAATACGAACCTAACACTATGAGTGGACTGCTTTCCGGAAGTTGCAACAACAGTAGAGACGGGTACATGTTGTCTAACAGAACTGAGTACATTTCCTGACGAACAACTATCGTGACCATGACTTCTCAAAATATTATTGCTACCACTGTTGCAGCTATTTCCAGCTGTTTTCATGCGGCTACTGCAAGTATTCAGTTGTGCAACGCCACCGGATCCAGAAGATGCAGGAGCGGGAGAAACTGACATCTGAGAAGAATTACTGCTAATATTATTTAGACGGTCACGTGAGTAGATAGCCTGAAACTATCGAATTATTTTTAAGACTGCAAAGTTACCGGATGGTACTATATCCCTCGTAAATCTACTTCCGATTGATCTGACTTGAGCTCATTTTATAGTTCTATTATAAGAATCTTTCAGAAGTCTCAGAGTACAGTTCGTTCGTAGACTGTTATAAACTTACAGATGACAGATAAGAGGAAGATTCCTTAACACAGAATAGTTAGACTAACCTTTAGCTTTTGATATTCCACATACTGAGGAGGGTGTTTCTTAAGATGGCAAGCAAGTGTACTAGTATGTGGTCCTTTCAATACATACGTACAATTACCCACGATACATCTGTAAAAATTATCCGATTTAACTGACTAATCACAAATACAGTTATTACAGGAAGGAGTGATTAGAAAATTGCAAAAGCCCACCTGCTCAGGTTTTCAGCTTTATTATAAACGAAGAATTTCCAAACCGGAGTCTGCTTATTGGTTCCACCACTTCGAATAGCTGCAGCTGGATTACGATGCCAGGACCAGTCATCTTCACTGAACAGTGCTGCAGCTGGCGATGACGCTGCTGCTATGGCACCCGGAATTGGTGGTCCTGGTGGTACTAGAAAACTATTTTTCTACATCAGCGTCTTTCAGATTACAAAACTGAAGGATTAGAAAAATACATTAACTGGATTATTGAGAATTAGACTTTAAGTAATTTAATTTAAAATTTTTGAGAAAGACTCTTAGAGCCTAAAATATTGACATAAAAAATTATTTTGTGCGCAACTCCATACACATTAATTTTGAGCTACATAAGATGGAATTACGTCAAATTCAAAAAGCTTTTCATAAAAATATTCACCACTTGGAGTAGCTGATTTACCGCGGCCTTTTTGATTCGTAGGTTGCATTTGCTGCAATAAAAAAGACATTCAGTTAGCTAACAAGAAACCAACAATCTTTATCAGAAAGCTAACTGTGAATGGAATTTTTACTCATGGAAGCTCTAACTGCTACGAACAGAGTAATCCTTTGCGCAGATAACAGAAATCCCTACCTGACATTGAACTTCCAATTTTTGATAGAAATAAGGGAACATCTTACTTTCATGTATGCATTGGTAGCCTGAAAGATCATTGCGGTGGAAAATGCATCTACAAGACTTTGGCCATTTCTTGGATACAGCAAATTGTTGCTATTAGCATTTCCGCACAAATCATCTCGTTCCCGTTCCTCTTTTATGCAGGACGTAGAACTGGACGAACGGGCTGAAGACGGACCCGCAGGAGATTGGCCTCCATTTGCTGCATCATCCAAAGGGCTACCTCCACTCTGGTATGTAAAGGTTGGTTTTTCCACAATCACCTGCAAGTTAACTTTCGAGATGCTAATGTGAATATCACACAGTCGGGCAGTTCCAAACTACCACTACTGGTATCGTAGTGGAATTTCAAAATAAAAGATGTGTACCTGAGTAGGTAGAGATGACCGAAATTTTTTAGGCTCAGGAGCTTCTCCTTGAACGACGATGCTCATCGCTCACTTCTAATAGTTTCTTGAATTTTCTGTGAATTATTTGTATTATCCTGCAAGGTCAACAAGTTCTCACGCAAAAGTGGATCGCTAAAATAACGCTTCCAAGAGGGTCGAAAATTGCGCTCAGTAGGATCGCTTTCTATCTAACAACACAATGAAATGATTTTGAAATTGAAACGTCATGTAAACATCGCATAATAAAATCACATGAATATTGGAGATGAAATAGAGTGCGCAAAGTCATGTAATGTCTCACGAAATGAGCGCCCCTCTTTTTCCGCACCCGCCGTAATATTTGACTGAAAACTCTGAAAATGGAATCTTTCATACATAAAAGCCGCCTCGTTTTCCTATATCTTTTGGAAAAAATTTACATATTTATTAATAAAACGGAGTTAAGGCAATGATTTAGAGCATTTTGCGAGTAGTTTTGGGGCTTGTACTACTCTACCGTATCAAAAAAGCTAATGTCCAAAACTTCTCATCTTGGGCAAGAAAGTGAGTTTAAAAAAAAAAAGTGATAACCAACCTAGATTAAAGGGGACCTATAATTAAGTGATGATCCTCTTTTTCTGACTTATCTCTACTACCTGAACTTCATTTGTGTCTCGCTGATCCGAATTAATTTCCCGTTTTAATTTAGTTTACCATTTAATATCCGTATGCATTCCATCAAATTGGATGTATAAAAAATTTAGTTCTGGAGAAAACTTCTAAATCTTTCCTTTGAAATTCCCGCGGATCAAATAGAACAATCACTCCAAAAACTAACTATATGAAATCGATGTACATTTTCCTTTCTATCTCTTCGAACGAGCAGTAATAATTTACAAAACAACAGTAGAAGAGATTATTACAGGTAGCGCTGCCCTAAACTCTCACTTCCTTCGATCTGAATAGTAAGAAGAATTTTCAGAAGAATTTACCCGGGATAGGGGATACTCATAGTAGCATATAATTCATAAATGATTCATCAGAAAGTGCTATGAATATCTTCTTCTTATAAAAAAATAAACCTTTGTGGCTGTTTACGATTGACCTACCAAAACAAGTGTACTTTAACTGTCAGATCTGAAAATTATTCTCCCGTACTTATCGTAAAGTATAAATGCGTAGTGGAATTTATATAATTTGTAAGAACTTCGTGTTTCTCCCTTTTAGTAAACTATAAATCCGAAATAACTTATTCCAAACAAAAGCAAAGGAAGAAGAAAGGAGCACAGATGGCTTCAGGCTTAAACGGTTTAAATGGGCTAGGACGGAAAATAGATATTCAAAATTTTCTTTCAATTCCTTCTCCCCTTATTCGTCTCTTATAATATAAACATCGCGTTCAGGCCGAACAAAGCTTTCCAGGAGGAACTAACTGCTCTTCTCTTCTGGATTACTATTAAACTCAAACTGGCAAGACAACTGCTCGGAACTCTCTTCCGCATTCTCATTCCTTTCATTTGTCAACATCCCCCATCAGTAATCTCCTACACAGATTATAATAGAGTTTGAATCACACGTAACACTGATTCATTCAATTACTAAATGTTCCATCATTATACATTACATTTACGCCTAATAAAAAGCAATAAACATGTCGTCGTCGTAAACAATTGGAATGAAAAGAAGCAAAACTATCCCAAGATCGTAAATATTTCATTTTACAACTGTTGACATGTTATGAATTGAAGGAAGAAGCGGAAAAATCACTGGAGCCAATATGTTCAGAGGACATTCATTTCCCGCATTTATTCTCATCCATCCTAACTCAATAGACAGTATGATATTGCAGTTATCAAATGTGAGAAATATACCTGCAAGATTTCAATCTGTAATCTAAATCAGTTAATAATCCCTACGATCAAGCACACTTTTTTTTTAAATGAAATTTAATCGATCAAAACTCGAAAATGATTCACAACCGTTATCAAAACCACTGCTTTCTCTACCCTATAAACTGTTACATATTGATAGCTTTGATAGTTGCGGTAATGTTTGCTTAAAAAGCGCTCTATTGCAATGTTCATTAGGAACTGCTTGACAAAAGCACATATACATCGCATCGTAATGTATAAATTGAGAAGAATCTCTTTGGTCTGCTATCATTGAAGTCTTTGTTAGATATTGTCCGGTTGTGACAAATGCATCACCGATCGCCACGGTGATGTTCGAGTCAATATGAAGAAGCAGTCACTCACTCACTCTCTCTCTCCCTCTCTTTCTCTCTTTCTCTCTCTTTCTCTCACTGAGATCTTAACAAGTAAACTGATATGTTCGCATTCTAAATCCCTCTGTACCTCAAAAATTTTGTTACTTGAACTTCTGTAGTTTCATCATTCTAGTCTTAATAACCGTACATCTTATTCACGTGAACAAAAATTAGTAGTTAAATACATGCAATTCCACTGTAGAGTGTCCGCGAAATACAGTTTCGTAAGATATGGGTCCGCGGAATAGCTTAGCAAGTTTCAAGAAGGAACATAGGCTCTGAGCAAAGATGAACCTGGCTCTTGCTCTTTTATTGATGTAATTAAGATTAAACAAAGAATGCACCTCAACTGTTTGTTATGGTCTGTAAAAGTTTCAGTCCTCTTTAATCCTTCTTCAACAACAAACCTAGTTTTTTAAAGAGGCCAATAATATGCTTACTCTTGATCTTAATATAAAGATTCTCTGAGAAAAAGAACTAGGCCTATTATTTATTGTACTTTTTTGAGACAAGCTTTTCCAAAAAATCCGTAGAATTGGCAGTGATTTCGAGTAAGCTTGCTTTGTTTCAAAACAATATTTGGGTTATTACTGATCTAATCAAATATGATTTCAAAACAAAATGGTATAAAGGTTTTTATCTTGAAGTTAGTCCTTTCTCAGAGAAATAGTCAGATAATATCCGAGAAAGATAATTAATAGTCCACCGAAATTTGACCTATGATCAAATTATCTTCATTCTTTGCAACAATTTATTATATTCTTGTCGAGAAAAAGACCTTGAATATGAAACCTTTGAGAATGAATACATATTTTTAATGTGTGACTCGAAAAGTAACATCATTGTGCCACCATTCTCATTCATCCGTTTCTGAAATATGCAACTGCCATCTATAATGTTTGCTTGTTACTTACACTATCACTAACTTCTTTGTTTCACTGATTAGGTTATCATTGACAAATTACTACTCCTTTCGTAACTTAATGCCGCTAATCAAGTTTTCCTAAACTGACGATTAGATTCCTTAAGATGCAATAAATTGACGGAATAAAATGAAAAAACACAGAACTATTCATGTCAGAACTATCATGAAGTTGCTTGTCCTCTTTGATAGCACCATATATCAATCTGCCAGATTCCTCCAGATTCCTCTGCCAGATTCTCATACTCGCTGACCAAACCAGAACCACAAATATGCTTCACTGTTAAGGATAAGAAAGTGTTTTGTGAGATACTTCGAAGATAACTTGAAAGCACTCCCTCCCAGATGAGATCAGCGTGACCTATACTTCATCCAAACATCGAACATTCACTACTGACTGCATGCGCTACAGAAAGAGGAATCCAAATAAAAAAATAGACAAAATGAAAAAATCCGTGAAATATTTCGCAGTTGAGATTACAAGGATGTCTTTCTGTCTGTCTGCCTATTGGTCTATGATAATAGAGGGTGACACCTTGGGATAACAGACGACCGTACTCGTATATGCTGCCGGACACAGTAATACTATTAGTTACCTCTTCCTCCTCTCTTTACCAACTCTTCGTGTACAAAGAAAAGAAGAGAGGAAAAGGTGAATGAGCAGAGATGACAAACAAATCAACCTGAGAAAAGTAACCTGTCAAGAAAGGTACAGGTGGCAGGTAGACAGTTAGAGAAGTTTCTTTTCTGAACTAAATGCACCAGCATTCACATACGCAACTAACCTGCATTTACATTCGCACGCGCTGCACTTGCACATGCACATGAGAATCAACTTCAACCGAACAACAACCAACCAGGAGAGCACTGCGCGAAAGATTTGTTGACTGGAAGGAACCGAACGAATGGTTGATCTGATGTGACGTTGAACCCACAAAAAATTCCATGGATTACGGTAGTTTTACGTCTTAAGGAAGGTAATCTGAATGGAATGACCTGCCCACCTCCTCAATTTACCGCATGTTTAGAATCGACAAGATGTTTAAATCATTATCCATACTAACTTCATTTAGCACTAATGGTGACAGTGGAAACAATAAGATGAATGAATATTATGTATGATCCCTTGATCATAATTAACGATCATCATTCGTTAATATTTAGTATCTGTCAAGAAAAATTACGCCTATGATATGTAAAAACATGATGATGACTATATCATATGACTGTCAGTCCATGATGAGTTGTATAAATTATAAGGACCAGGCCATAACTACTCTCTTCAAAGAGGCTATGGGTACAAATTAAACTATTCTTTTAATGTCCCCACCAATTAAGTAATTTATATTCTTGCATAGCTCGGGAATGTTTTTAAGCACTTATCTGTTACCACTTTTAAGTTACTATAAATTTTTCAAGTGAAATTTTATAGGTTGGTTGACGGAATAAGACGATTAGTATTGCTAATAAGCTGTATCTAGCATGATCAAAATTCAATTTAAAATACTCCTAGTTGTGTTTGACACAGTATTACAAAAGCATTTTTGACTTTCCCGTCTCATAGTCTTGATTTTTAAATAGTGGAGGTGAAGGTTTGAGTGAGCAATAGGTTTCTCTCAATTATTAGATCCAAAAAATTAAATTTAATTTGAAGACAGTGCGATAGCACGCCGAAATTTTTGAAGGAATTGGTATTTAATTCTCCCGTATAGACTCACCCAGCCATTCAGTGATTCGCCATGCGTTATAGGTCTTTTGCGCTCTCGTTGCTGTCGTTACCAACTTCATTGTCCTCATTTAAAAACATCAGGTAAAAACAGAATGTAAAAATGTGTGCATAATACAGAAAACAAATTAACAACGACAGATTCTTATCTTTGTCACCCTTCCTTTCTTTTCTTTCTTACTTCCCTTTTTTCCCTCACAACTTTCTTCTCATCTTATTTTCTTCTTTTTACCTAATTTTCCTTACGTGACCTTTCCATGAGTGAGATATAAATTTTTTTCTTTTTTGTTGCTATCTGCGCTCATTCAAAATCCTACAAATTACTACTTTTTTAAGAATTATTTGTTAAGATGCAGTAATGCGGAATGTTCTCATTTTGGCCTTCGAAATGTTAAAATTCCTTCAACTCCTTATAAATTTCAAAAATTATTTGAACTACAGTGCCTATAATTCCAATTTTTTTAATCGATGGAGTAAAAACTTAACAAAAGATTTTTTTTTTTTTTTTGCTTCAACTCAGCTTTATATTCTTTTTTAACTATCAGGGAGTATAGGATTTTCTAAAAATATTTTAAACCTATAGCCTATACCAGGATCATATTTTTACAGAAAAACGATCCAAACAAAAAAGAATGTTCTTCAAATAAGCACAACTCCTTTGCTATTATTGTTATTATTGTCAATTGTCACTCATTGCCCTTATCACATTAGTTACTATCACTATCATTCCTGCTAATCCATTGCATTGGAACTTAGCTATTCTGAAGATATCGAAAAACGAAGTCAGTTTTGATCTAACTATAAGGAAGACAGTATCACTACTAGTTTTAATCATGAACGTAGACGCGTCCTTTAATGCCTGCTCAGATTAAACATCTTTACATATTTAGATGTAAAGATTGTGATTCGTTGATTGTGATTCCATTTAGAAGGTTCAAAGATCAATTAAATCATTCTTATTGGATACCTTACTTCGTCAGTATCGTTATTTTCGTACTATCTGTATTCAATTAAAATTTCAATCTAACTATTGAGTTGTTTGAAAATAGACATAATGTTTTATACAATTTGCTAAGCACAAAAATCGATTCATATCTTGGTGTAGGAATTTTATAAATCAGAAATTCAAACGGGCTGAAGCACAAACTATTCTACTCAAACACATTCAGTCAAAAATGAAATCAAGTATTATAACAACTATTCCGACATATCTGAGATTGTTAAGCTTTTTTTCTGGATTACCTTGGTTACTTGTAGTTGACAACCACTTATTCCGTTGCAACTAATACAACCAACATCATCATTCATCATCATCATCATCATCATCTGCAGATAACGAGCTTGTATTATGAGCAATAAACAGCATCCTCTAGCAATACGATAAACCATAGTGCAAAATGAAGACAATTTCAATCGAAAATGGAGGGTAACCAAAATTTCAGACGAAAAAAAAACAGCTGGAAGTGTTACAATTCATATATTGTAATCGCAACTAAAACTCAAGAACTTCGAACTATATGTCATTAAGGAGTATAAAAATGAAAAAAAGCTTTCGATCATACAGTCTAAGAAATTTTTAAAAATTAAATACTTCAAACATTGAAATGAAGAACGGTTATGTATACCGTAATATGTGTCGATGAAGTGATTTAACTGAACATTTATGAATTAAATGATATCAAGATAAAACCAGGAGCGGGAAAGTTCCAAGAAGTAAAAGCATAGTAACCGGGGTAAGGGAAGTTTGTCCCTGAGTTAGAAAAACATTCGTCTGAAATTCACGAAAAGTCGGTAATTTTTGACATGACCTGTATAGGAAGTGTAATATTTATTCTGTAAAAATAATCGATCAAAAATATCAAATTAAGTTAAATTAATTTATATGAAATGAATGTCTCAAATTTGAAATTCAATTTGATAAGAAACTAAAAAGTCCCGATATATTTGCTAATGTTTTAAATAAATCCAACATTTAATAAATTTAACTAATCATTAGTAATCAGTATACTTAAATTATTTAAAAGTACAGACGTAGGAGATATATTATCGCATATTCATACGAAATAAAGGAGGAAGAGAAAAAAATAGAAAGGAACTTCTTAAAATTTAATGAGGAGAGAAATAAGTTTTCGACAGTGAAACTCGTAATAAAGTACTAACATATCATAAAAATTCCTCCGCTACTTTTTAAGTGAGGACTAAGAGACATTGAAAAAAAACTATGGTAACGACTGTAGCAATTTGTTAATGGTAGTATTTGTTGTCATTGTTGTTGTAGTTGTTGTAGTAGTAGTAGTTGTTGTTGTTGTTATTGCTGAGACATTAGGGTATCAGTATTAATAGTAGTAATGGTAGTGGTAGTGGTAGTGGCGGTAGGACTACTGCAATTTGCCAACAACGGTGCACTCTCAATTACTCTACGATCAGTGGCATATATTTATGGTCGACCGCCACCGGCATTATCATGATATTATTTTTGTGTTTGTTCTATAAAATGACGACTTAAAATTTCCCCAATGAAATATTTTCGTAAAAATATTTCTTACATGAATTCAATGGGTTTTTATCATATATCTGTTGAAGTAACTAATAGACTGTAAAAAAAGAGAGGGAGTTAGGGTTACTTTTATAAGATAAATAAGAAGCTCTGAAGTTCTTTTAATAATCTCTTAATGAAAGTGACACAGTAACGATTTCCAAGTAAGTTTGATTCTGTCAAGCTCATTTTGACACACAGCGTGGAAGTAATTAAAATCCATTTTGCAAGTACCGACTAAACAACATCTTTTACTAAAAAGAAAATAGAATTAAACATGAGAAAAACAAGGTTTTAAACTTTAAATAACTGAATTTATGTAGGATTACATTAGTGAAAAATCGAAATATTTGATTGATAAATATATGTGATCATTTGGTTAATCAACATGAGGATATCAATCCTGCATGACTGATGGGTCCTGATAAATGATATTATCTTTTTCAGTGCTTACTAACATAAAACTAGAAAGATTCTACAAATGTAATCCTACAAATGGTTTTTTAATTTTACTGTATTTTAGTGTAGGATTAAAAAAGGTTTTAATTAAAAAATTCAGGTCATAAATGAGAAAGATGTACAAGCAAAACAACTTTTCATGGTAAAATCTTTCACACACTGCTTGAAAGTATCAAAATATCTTTCAGCGTTCCTGAGCGCTTTTTGAATTTTGCTTGAATCCTTATTTATATCTATTCGTATGTTTGCGCTTTGCAGCTGTTTAGTGCTTAGTGTGCTCTTGATACCCTTGGCTCAAAGATTCATAAAATCCGTTCCATCTAATTTAAAATCCACTAAACTGCTCAAATCAGCAATATTACTGTACAAGCCTAGGATTCGCTACGAGACTGAAGATTTCGTAGCTCCTGCAAAATATTAAAATCAAAAACAGCTTCACCAACAAATTCTGGAACTTATTTTAGAAGTGCTGAAATATTGTTAATGAAATCGAAAACCGAAAAAAAGCAATGGTTCGTGAACTGCTCATCCTTTGTTTGTAACTATTATATATTGCGAATTTAAATCTATCCCATGTGTAAACCAGTAGGAGCCAGAAGTAGCACTTAATTTTTTACAAAAATGAAGGTAAAATGACGTCAGGTGCATAAGATATACGATATAATTGATGATGTTGGCGATCAGGTTTCATCAGAATTTCTGACGAAATGTTTTTGGTGGCGGGTATGTATTGGTACGACGGTAATCATTATACAAACCTATAATATCATCTAATTATAACATGTAGATACCAATATGACGTCAAGTTTTCCACATATACTGATGGTGAGAAATCCGAAAAGTTGTTCAGGCAAAATAGTTTTAGAACTATTCTGGTTGAATATGGGCTTGGATATTTGAGCGATCCTTAGCCAACAAAGCTGTTTTAGTGGTAGTTCATAGGCACTCAGCCTTTCAGTAATACGTTCAGTGATGCAGTACTGATAGTGTTAACAGTCTTGGCACAATTATTAATCCTTCCCCTACAACTGATCTCTTACCGTATATTATATATCTTGAGATCTCTATACTCCAATTAATTACAAATAATTTACTAGAGCATAGAGATAAAGTGAAGGAGTAAAATTTATGAAGAGATCTGTTGGTGGTAACAATCTGGAATTTTCTCTTACGACTTTGGTAAAACGAACGGCAATTGAAGTCGATCGGTTGTTGCTGACGCTATCAATGAGCTAAATCTAAACACATTCACATTGAGATAGATACTTCAGATTCTCCTACCCTCCTCAAACTCTTCTAAATTTCCAGCTATTCCAAAATCTCTTTTTGTGCAAACATTGAATTCCCATTTCTAGATGCTGTATCTATGCATGTGTCAATGCATATCTGTGTATGTGTGTATATGATGAAAGTATATTTGCATTATCTTGCCTTGACAATGATGCACGCTCAACCTCCGCCCTATCGCCATATTCTACCCGTTTAGATGTATTGATATGCAAGTAAAATTATCAGTTTTGCAGAAAATTTTGCAATATTCTGCTGATTGTCACAGTTCAAGCCAATGTTTGTTATTTCTCATTACTCTTTTTTCCGACAGTCACGTGAATCACCAGCGGACAGTGATAACTGTTAACTTATCCCGTAGAGTATAACACCTAAAGCTTTATTATTTTTGGATAATAGAGAAGATTGAGGAGATAATTAGATGAAGATACTTCCTGTTCATAAAATGATAAATACGGGGCTATTGGAACATTCGGTGTTCTATGATTAATACTCTTCGGTTTTAGCTCAATCTGTTCAAAATAGCATGAAAATTGTAATGACAGGTAAGATAAGAAGTAATAACACAGACTAAATATAACAATGAAAGTCGACAAAAAAAAAGAGATATCAGAAATATAGAAAAAATACGTTTTGAAAAAGAAAAGCTTTAGTTACTGGGTTTGCTGATAATCAGAGCAATAAAATCATAACGGAAACAAGGAGATATGCAATGAGATATTTAAGTTTATTGAGTGTCAATTTGGTGACCATCCCTTTTGGCTGTTTTGTTTGGTTGGAAGTATTGATAAGCAATTAGCGAATTAAATCTTTAAATTAATTATTTCAAATAAGAAAATGTTATCAACTGAAACCGATCTGTTTTGTTGTGTATAAAGTAATCTCTGTAATTCTAATATTAGCAAGAATGTTTCCAGATAAAGAATAGAAAAACATTCTTTAGCAAATTATTCAAAAATTTGGTAGAGTAGAGAATGTTGAAAAAAAATGAGATATGCTTCAGCTGGAAACTTCAAAAGTTGGCAGTCATCAAGAGAAAAGAAGGAGTAAACTATCACCGATCGACTATATTCAATTAGTCTGTGACTTCATTTACTAACAAGGATGTAGAGGAGAAAAAAAAGAGGCAAAGTTAGCTGAATTCAAATCGAAAATTAGGAAAAAAGAGGAAGATATTTAAAAACCATCTGTTCGTGTCCTTCCGGTGCAAAAACCAACAACCGTAAACAACTTACAGCGACATCTGCGCAAAATGTTTATTTGTTTATTTTTTCCTCACTTAATAAGTTTTTGTTTACTTCTGCGGTGATTCATTTCTTCATTACTTGATAACTCATCCATTATTTATGAATTGCTCATTAATTAAAACGTCGTCAAAATGTGCACTCAGCCCAACTGGCATCCAGATTGCATCACGACAGTGTAACAACAATCATTAGCCCTTGTTCAAGTGAATCGACACTTTATAAATTGAGTCGTAATTTGCATTTGTTTTTGCTTGCATAGCCATATCAGTGTTAAAGTGTTAAACTGTCCGCCTGTCCGTCTATTCATTTATTTTCAAACAAGTAGAGAGGTAAATAAATTATGGAAGAGAGCAAAAATTTAAAAAGCAGAATTTAAAGCTAATCGATAAACACATCATACTCCAAGGCACTGATCATCTCCATAGATCGATAAGGCAAAACATTTACGGTTTACTTTAAAATTAACAAGTAAAATAGAGAAATAAACGAAAGTGAGAACTGCGAGATGACCGATAGAAATAAATATAATAAGCATATGTCGCGAGGATGGAAATGTGACATTCACAGCTAATATATCAGATAAATAACAATTTTTAGGTTAAAAGATAGCTTTTAAGTGGAACAGTTCATTATTGGTTATTCAGGATATCACCGTACAAAGATGCAAATAATTTCGATGCTTTCAACATTCTATGCTAACAAAACCTAGCTTGATTACTCAGGAGAAACGTTAATTCGACACTCTTTCTGATAAGCGTTATGATGAAAGAGTTAAACAAGCCGGAAGGATTGCTACATTTCGGCCAACAAACACTATTCGCTTCGACTTATTAGCAGTTTAAGCAACTCTTAGAACAATTCAACAGCTGACTAACATCCTCAATGTGTTAAGGAATCATTTCTATATTCTAAATAAAATATACAGTTGTTGGAGTAGTAAACTGAAACAACAAACCAGTGATAGTAAAATTAATGGAAGTAAAATGAGATGGGGTAAGATGAAACAAAAAATCGCTGAAGTTTTCATCTCAACTAAATCAATTGATAATAAGTTGAAGTGATGAAATGAGATGCATCACAAATAAACACTGACAAATCTGGCTGATAACATTCAATCACGTACGACATGAATAATTATTGGGTACAGAAATGATAATGAGGATGCAGACAATACTGGAAGGAGACAATAATCTTCTTTGAAGCATTTATGTAAATTCTTACTTTATTATTGACAATTTTAGTTGATTGTTGAATTTTCATAAATAGGCGTTTCACAAATTCCACATAAAGTGTGATTCTCCTAAGAAATGGATTACTGTGGCTAAGTACCATCAACGACGTATTTACACATGTGAACACTCAATTTAATTGCATAATCTGTCTTTAGAAAAAGTTCGGTAAAATTTATGTATATAAAAAAAGGTCTGTGTGAAGGATTGTGGAAAAAATTATTTCTTTCAAAAGCTGTAAAGATTAAGCAAGAAGAGTTGACAAATAGAAGAGTAAGAAGGCGAAAAAGAGCTGGGATACGGTAACTAGTTTGTTCAACAGGTAATACCAGGTAGAAGTTCTTTAGTGGAAAACTACTCTTTGAATGTCGGAAATTGTTCAGATATAAAAATATTTTTGGAAACATCTCATGATTCGTATTGGTTTTTCCTTGCACACCAGAAGAGCTCCTTCAATCTTCTGGAAGAAGATAAGAAGCACGATTAACAGCACTAAACTTATTCCTATTGTCTTATGATCTGTAACAATACAATATGTAAATTTTATCACGCTGTTATTTCTAATAGACATCAAAGTTTAACTTACAACCTTATCCTGAAGGAAACTAATTAATTTAGAATATTTGAAATAATGAATTTAGATAACCAACTTTTGTGAGGAAAATTGCACTAATTAAAGAAAAATAACATTTCCAATAAAAGTAAAGACTGAAGTGAAGAGTCTCTCAATGGCTTCTTCAGACAGCAAAAGCAAAAAAGTAAAGTGATACCTAAATGGAATGGAAAAATGTTTTCCTTTGGTCGCTTGAATATTAAATGAGTGCTGTAAACGAGAATGATGAATGTTGTAAGGGTGCTTGCTTCGCAAGACCAATTCAGTAGTACACGTATAAAATTCAAATTGAGAAGCATCTTTCCATCCATTTTATAGCTTCATTCATTCTATTCTTTCTTAACTTATGTCTTCCTTTCACGTACACTTTAAGATAACTACCGAAATAGTCCCGGTATTTTTCTTACAAGACAAATTATATGGTATTTGATTAGAAAGAAAAAAAACCCTTGTTTGATTTCATAAAATTAAATAAATTAAAAAAGGAAAAAGTAGGAGATTGTTGATAAAAATGTGCTGCATCGTGATTGCAATGCATGCATATAGAAGAGTACAATGCGTGCTTGGGTTATAGAAAAAAGAAGCGAAAAGAAAAAGTAAATGAAAGATAGTAACTAAAGTGAAAGATGAGATGATAAGTAAACTATGAAGAAGAGAAACTGTATTGAGTCAGAAAGGAGCTGGAAATGATTTTGTATGAAATGTTGCAGGACACAGCAACATTTAAGCTATTGATATTGTGTAATAGTGATAAAAGAAGCTTGAGAAGTGACTTCTTAACAGATAAATAAATATCGAATAAGTAATATAATGGATAATGGGCATCCAAAAAAACTGTAGACAGTTCGGTATAACCTTATCATTTCTCTTTCCTCATAACTTAACCTAGGCCATTGGAATCGTTGGATTTTTAGGTGATTAGATATGGAAATCTTTCAAGAGCCAACATTTCATATAGGCTTATCATCCGAAAGCTTTTAGATATGGGCGAAACTAACCATCATCACTCCGTCCTATTCACCCGCTAGTTAGGTTATCGATAGTTTAACCCCCCCCCCCCCCCCCCCCCGCCTGTCTCGATTTCGCACAGTAGTGGAAAGACAGTTTCGGGTAACGGGGTGGAGGAAGGAGCGGTGGGGCAGACAGAAGAGAACTGTAAACAGATGAATTTACTAAATAAAAGGGACGAATAAATAGATGGGACAAACGAGGTGCAGTGATAATAGAGGGTAGGGTGGATGATACTGCGAAAAGTTAGAAACCCATAGAAGTTTGGGTAATAACAACAAAAAAGAAAAAACCGAACAATGGGTTTTCAATGGATTACGTTAAGGTGAGGCGCACATTAGTAAATTCAGCTGAAACAATATAAGCCGAAAGAGCTCATAAACTGTCTCCTACATTATTCATTTCCAGTAATATCGCAGTAATATATCAATTTTTTTAGGAAAAAATTTTTTAATGGATGAAAAGGAAAATAGCGGATTCGAGAATTAGGATAGTTGATAGTTGAGGGTAAGAGGTCGGAAAGAACAAGAAGTGAGTGGGACAAATGAAAGGATGGAGGAATAGGGAAGTACACGTTTAAGCGCAAAACTTCACTGTGTATTTGGTTTCACAACTCATCCAAATATAAACCCATTATGTCATTGATACCATTCGGGTTTTAAAATTCAAAAAGAAAAAAATTTCTTCTTTTTCTTATTAAATGTATGATCTATCGAATAATGCTTGAAGTGGGAATGATTTTATATGATGATGAACCGGAAATCCCTAAACTCTCTAAAAGGCTCATGTTGTCTCGCACTGTCACTGAGCTCGTATTTTTGTTTCAGAAACTTTATAACTGCTGTGCAATTCGGTTTATCTTCATCCCGTACTATTATTCTATTAGCAAACTTACCCGTAATCTGAAGGTTATTTTAAAAGCTTAAAATGGCTACGATAAGGTTGTAATATGTACAAACCGATTTCGATACGTACAAACTCTGGAAGAGTTAATTTTTCACAACGTTGTCATACGTACAAACTGATTTCTGGAAAATTAATTTTTCATTGCTCGTTTTCCTTGCCAATTAAAGATTTCAGGAAATGTTCAAAAAGGTGCATTATGTTATCGAAAATATTATATGAAATTATTCATATCTTTTATATTTGTTAAGACATAAATGATTAATATTAGGAGTAATATTACCACTGCCTCGTTACTTTATAAGATTTCGGGAAATTTAAGTGTAGCTAATCAGTTCCAAGCAAGTTAGATAAAAGACTGAAAGCTGATCGTGTTGTGGAGGATGTATTAGTTGAATTTAACGAGAACTTCTGGGAGCTGGATGGTTGAGATAGGTACAAAATTATATGCGACAGGTGTTGAATGTAACATCTGGCAAGGGCTTCAAGGATAGGAAGAGCGAAAAGGAAAAATGGGTGAAAAGTGGGATAATATATTCGGGAGCGTACTTCTAAAACTAAATTTACTTCTATCTTTTCCTTTCTTTCTGTTCTCCTTCATTTCCTTCTTCTTCTTCTTCCGCTTCAAGCTAGCTTGCTTGCAAAATAGCTAAAAGAGATAATAAGCTCCTAGAGAGGGCAGCTAGCTGATCTCAACCTGAGTAGAGAAGTTCGAGAGTTTTAGTCGGTTTAGAAATTAAAATCGTGTAAGATTCTTCTACACTGCCTATGTATGTTGGAATTATAACTTTTCTGGACTGAGAAACTATAACTTGCTGTTCGCCCTCAATAATAACTTTAAAATTTTTGCAGCGAAGCAAGATTGCAGATATATCTTCACCCATTTTACTAATCACTGCAACTCTTTCAGCTTAATACCCCAGTTACGTTACATTACACAGTTAGAAGGGAGCTAAGCTCTCTCTTGACGAGCTTATCACCAAAATCTTTAGCAATCAAAGGTACGACATATATAAATAAATATTACCCGTATCAGTTTAGAAATAGGATAATGAACAACTGTTTCTAGATGCTAAGAAGTGGACAAATAGAAAGTAGTGGCTTAAACTGCTGCAGTTTAGTTAGATTTTGCCTTAAATTTTGAATAACTTACGGACCATACATTTTGCTCCAACATCCCAAAAGAAGAAAACAATTGCCATTAATACCACATTTATCATTATGGCTATAAATGTGGTAATTTATGGCATTATTATGATTTCAAATTTTTGTCACTACAACAAGCTGAATGCATCATTATAGAATTGAGTAAAAGGATGACTCAAACTACAATAGGGTGCCGTATTGCAGCACTTCTGCATTATTTGCATGCTCCAAAATCTACAGATTATAGAGCAGAAACATCCATTACTTCGACAGTATTCAAAGTACATTGGTTTACAGCATGCGATAAGTAACATTTTTTAACTTTCAACAAATAACAACAACAGAAAACGACATGTTAAGCTGCTGTGGTTTATTTTTATAATATTTTAAAGACTGATCCTTTTGCTGTCACCCAACAACAGTTGAAATGGGTTACAGAGCATGTTTTAACGAGCAAGTAAATTCATATTGAGATGACGATGAAATTTAACAGTGTGGTCAATTATCAGAAGTTAATGATGTTAGTCAAAAGACGCAAGCGCTACTTCTTGGCAACGTGCTAATCAAATTTTCAATCCAACAAGAAAAATACAAAAATACTAAGAGTAATCAAATTTAAAGATGAAAGATAAGTAAGCCATCGCAAAATCTAAAAATTGGATAATTAAAGATTTGGATGTACGTATTAGCATATATGTATAATTGCACAGATGATAAATCAATGCCATAAATTTGTCTGAATGTTATTGATGCGTAGGAAGATGCTTTAAGGAAGAAATAGTTAATTTAACCTGAATTTAGTGAAATATGGTTTTAAACAAAAAATGTACTTAGTTGAAAATTATGCCACCCGAAGACTAAATATTTTAGACATGCTAGATTAGAAATGAAGTTAAATATTTTAAGATTCTTCCTGCTACTTTCTATAGAATCCTAAAGAATTTTACCACATGTCTTTAATTAAAAGAAAAACTTGTATTTTCTCAGCAATGTGCAAACCATAAAAATTGATATGAGACTGATAATGCAAAATGTCTTAAGTGTTTTTTAACATTATTATTTCCTTTTCGTTTCTACTATAAATTTTGTTTTGCACTTTTCCCTACTCTTAATTCCTCATCTTATTAAATTTTACCTGCATTTGTATTAAAATGTGGTAACAGTTGTAATGAAAGTAGCGGTAAAAATAGCAATCGAGTTTCGAAGTATTAGAATACTTCATACAACAAATAGCAGCTGATAATAATCAGTAGAGGAATAAATACTGATAGAACTACTTATATTTTAGGAATCAAAACATTTCGCACGATTGTTTAAAACATGTAATTTTAAGTTCGAGACAGCTTACAGAAATATAGGTCTAAAAGTATGACGTCTTATTCGAAATGAAATACAACCTGGAAAAAAATTTCTTTTTCCCGAAGCATCTCTCAAGATATATAATGGCTATATATTGGAAAGTTATTTTTCAAGAAGATTGAAAAGTAACTTTTCACATAGTATAAAAAACGCCGTGCTGCAAAAAAACAACGAACTATGACTATAACCACTAACCAAATAATCCTTTCACATCTGTACACTCAAATTACTCAAATTTCCCTTAACATGAAATCTCTGAAGTCTGAAAAAATTTTTTTTTTAAAAAAAAGAAAAATTTTCCTTAATGTGAAACTTCTAAAATAGTTGAAAATTTCATTTTCTTTTGCCTTTTTTTTAGCGTAAAATGCTATCTCGAATTCATATTTAGAGAGCTTAAGCAGATGGATGTTGTTGCTCTTAGCATGTTTAAAAGCATAATAAAGCGGGTTATATGAGCTATGCTGTATAATTTATTGATAACTTAGAAATATTTTACAGTCTGATCCTTAAAGTCAAATATAAATTAATGTCATCACTCTTACAGGTAAAATTATATAGCAATACTTAGTTTATCACACATAATGCATTAAATTTTCATTGTTACGAACAAATGGCTCTCCAAATGTTTTAAGCAAAGATTTTTGAAACCATTGACATATCACGCCTAATACACTGACCATTGACCAAATGCTTAATAATGATTATTACATACTATATTACTACTATTACTGCGAAGAGTAAGAGCAATGATAATATAATATAAATACCATTATTGGTTGTAACCAATAAATAAAATTTATGAAAATCAGATTATAAATACTGTCATTTCTCGTTTTCACTGTGCATTCTGCAACTCTTTTGAGAATAATAATCCGCTATACATTCGTGATATAGTGTCACCATTTTAAATTCTAATGTCCCCGTCACTAACTTTCCTATAATTTCTGTTACTACCTACACTACCTTTCTTATTACTATTATTATTATTTCTTCGAAATTATGCTGTTACTGATACATTTACAATGATAGACTTGTGCACATCGCCAAATTTATATCATTTTGGATTAAAGGAAGTTTCAGAACCGAATGTTTCATTTAATTAGAAAGAATGTCATAGGAATATCGCATTATCAAAATGAACTGATTACTTTGAATAAATTGATAGACATGCTAAATATCCATTAGATCAGTTAGGAAATTAACCTGAATTTAAACATTCAACTACTGATGGAAAATTCTCATAATTAATTTCCAACAAAATGTCAAACTTCACCTAAAACAGCACAATTTGTTCCTGAAGTTGTTCTCCATAAAAAAGATAAAGGCGCATATTTAAGGTGTTGTTAATGAATGGAACAAAATAGTATAACAGCAGAAGATAATTGATGCATTAAAAAAGTGATGTAGACAGGAAACAAAAAAGGTCTCAAAGGTGAATTTTAGTTTTGAAGGAAAGGACGAGGAGTATATATATTTAGGCACATGTACACACTTCGCATGCTTGCGCAATAAATTATAAATAATGTACGGGTGAGAAAAACTTGTATTTAAATAAGCTGGAAGTTAAACTGTGTCGCAAAGCTCGGAGGTTCTTTTTATCCTCATTATGCTAACATTTTCGCTGCAGTTACTGCATCTTATAAATTCTGAATATGATTTGCATTAGCAATGTAACAGCGCTGTTGTTTTTAACCGGCGCTCTTAGCATCAGATAAGAATTGTAACTTCAATTGTGAGTGCCAAAAGTAACCTGTGTTAGGAAGAAACTCGTTAAGTAATTCATTAGATGAAATTGATGTTTTAAGTCGACACTTGACCCTGTTGTCATTGCAGAAATTTGTTTAGTTTAAATAAATGAATAATGCATGTATACATACGTATATATATATATATATATATATATATATATATATATATATA